TCCGCCAGCGGGTAATATTTACCTCATAGAAAATGCAGCGTAAACATGACGTGTTGCTATAGCAACGTCCTTTTGCTACTGCGGTTCCTTATAGATAGAGAGATATATTGAGAGAGATAGACAGATAGATATATTGATAGATGGATAGAGAGAGAGATAGACAGATATATAGTTATAGATAGTGTAACATCTTGGAGAATACAAGATCTTGGATGACTGAGCTCACGTTGAGGACGTAATGCATGTGTGCAGGTTACGTGCCGGTTGAAGAAAGATGGAGACTCGGAATGAGAGAAGTAGTCCGCGTCGTCTATTTATGTAGACAATTATATGTTCATAGAACAGAACATTACAGATATATCGATAGAGAGAGATAGAGACCTAAACAAAACACAAGTCTAACACCAAGCGTTTAAATCAGCACTCTTAGCGATATTTTAAACTTCATGCTATCTGCACAACCTATATCATATGAACAGCTGAGAGTCCACAGATTCTATTGGTATAAGTTTCATCCCTGTGCGATCAAAACCCACTGTTCTGTATGATAAATAAAAGAACATTGTACCTTGAAAATCTATAGCGGGTACATTTTACCCGTTGGCGGTTTTAGGTATACAGCGATCTCTGGCGGTTCTAGTGTTAAAAGCATCAATCTGATGCACTTTGAGAGAAAAATGAAGAGATCTATGGATGCATCTCTCAACACCCATATGAAACAGAACTGTAATAAGATTGACTTTTTCTTTATGGATATTTTACAAATCACTCCCCTTTTAAGACCGAATTGTCTACATGCATAGCACAAGATGGCATCTTTTTTACATGAATATTCCAGCTAATCTCTGTTTTGAAACCATGAGCTGCAAAATGAGCGCCATAACCCACTGTACAGGCGAGTTGGGTACTTTTTTAAATATACCTGGGCAGGCTCTGTTTTGCCAAGGTCTTCTGGCACTTGCGGGCCGCCGAGTGGTGGCGGTGTTTGGGGCAACAAAGACGGCTGCCCCGCCTCCGTGGGCGAGGCGGGCAAAGCCGGCGAGTCAGGCGTTAGTGTGGCCGCGGGTAACGTAAAGTCCCCATGATCTGAACTGTTATTACCTGCAGTAGATGCAGTGTTACTGCT